ACGAACAATTAACTGTTTGAATTTAAGAAAACTTAAAAAATTGTACACTTGAAAATCATTTAAATAATACATTTTATATTTATTTTACAATTTAAAAAGCACTTATAAGGTGACTCAAATACAAGATCTACACAAGGAAAAGTACAAAATACTGGTAAAAGAACTCAAAGATCTAATAGAGGGGTTCCATATTCATGGATAGAAGTTTCAATGTTGCAAAGATGAATTCTCTCCAACTTGATATATAGATTTGTTCTGGTTTGTATTTAGATGTCCCCCAAAGCCTCATGCAGATGAGGTGGGACCTTCTTTTTCAGAAGTAGTTGAATCTGGAATGTGTGATGCTGGGGTTAAGGGGGTGTGATTACTAAACCACTGCACATGAGTGATTAGTTTGGCACTGCCCTAAATCCAGTAGTCTGAGTAAGATAAAAGGGACAGAAAGATGTTGTTAAACTCTCCTTGTGGATGCCATACTGATTCTGCTCTGCCATGCTTGCTTGTCATTCCTGCCGTGGAGCCAGCAATTATGGACTGCAACCTCTATGAACTGTAAGCCAAATAAACCCCTTCCCCATTTAACTTTCAGTGCCGGGTATTTTGTCTCAGCAACGAGAGAAAAGTTACTAATATAAGATTCAATACGGTATTTGCACAACTGAGCTAAAAACTTACAACCACATAAAACCTGCACCCAAGTCTTTACTGCACCATTATTCAGCATGGCCCAAAACTGGAAATCACCAAAGTAACCAAGGTGCTTTTCAATATGTGAATGAAAAGAAAACCTGAGGCTCCCTGGTACATCCATACAACAGAGTATTACTTAGCGATAAGAATAAATGCACAGGGCCAGGGATTTAGCTCAGTGGTTCCGCCGTCTGCCTCGCAAGCACAAGGTCCCAAGTTCGATCCCCAATAGGAAAAAAAAAAAAAAGAATAAATGTACTATCAAGTCATAAAAAGACAAGAGAAATCTTAATGCATACTACTACATGAAAAGAGGCAGTCTGAAAAAAAGCTACATATTATTTTATTCTAACTATATGCATGCCAGAAAAGATAAGACTATAGCAACAGCAGACAGCAGCGGCTGACAGGGATGTAGAGGAAGGGGAGAATTTTTAGGGCAGTGAAATGGTAGGATGGAGAATATATGTTCTTATGCCTTTGTCAAGACCCACAGAACTGTATAACAAAAAGAGTGAACCTTAATGAAACTACTAACTCTATTTAGTAATAGTGTATCCCTACTGATTGGCTCATTAACTATATCACTATAAAGCAAGATGTTATTACTGAGAAACTGTTCGGAGTGGTAGATGGGAATATGAACTCTCTCTCTTAAATGCTCAACTTGAAGTCTATTGAGTCCAGTTTTTAAAATGTAGGTTCTGTAGCCAGGTGTGCCTGTAAACCCAGCATTTGGGAGGCTGAGGCAGGATTTCAAGTTCAAGGTCAGCTCAGTCTACTGATCAATTCAAGGCCAGACTCGACTACAACAAAAAAACTACAAGCAAAAAATGCAGGTTATGAAGTAACATATGTTGGATGATATCATTTTTGTGATATGTTTGTGTATAAAATATGTCTGGAAGTTCATAACTAAAACAGTTGTTTTTAAAAAAACCTCTTGGCTTAGTTTAATACTGCTATTATTAAGTCACAGAGAAAGAAAATTAAGGAAGTAGACTATATGCAAAATATTAGCTTTGGTTGTAAGAATCAATGTACTAAAGGAAAAAAAAAGCTGAACAATTGAGAAAACTGCTACTTCAGAGTACAAAGTACAGGACATGACTCTTCTACTAACAATCTTTTCTCATAATGGCATCTGAAACGTAGCATCATTTTCAGCTGGCTTTTCCTGACATAATGACTTTTCCAATCCAAATACAAGTGTCTTGCTAAACAATATCAAATGGAACAAATCTGAATTGTATATAGCAATTTGGATGAATGTAATGTTTTGGTTTCCATAAATATTCCAAGTGAGAGATTATCAGGTAGAAGCATCATCTATGATTCTTTTTTTATTTTTTGAGACAAGGTTTCACTATGTAGTCCAAGCTAGCCTTGAACTCGTATGTGTTGTCCGTACAGGTGTGTGCCACCATGCCTGGCTTCATCTGTTATTCTTTATGCTGTGCACATGATGTCATTTCATGTTTAGAAGAGCTCTCTTATTTAGCTTCCACTTAGCTCTAAAAATGACCGTTACTCCTTTATTTTTTATGTATAATTTGACCAAGCAGGCCAGGTGTGGTGGTGCATGCCTGTAATACCAGCACTTGGGAGGCTGAGGCACGAGGATCACCATGAGTTTGAGCCCAGCCTGGGCTACATAGTTTAAGGCTTGCTTGAACTACATAGCGAGACCTTGTTTCAAAAACAAACAAACAAACAAACCAATGAACAAAAAATTAAATAGCCATGAGCTGCCTGACTGCTCCTTAGGGATAGCTCAATCCACTCAACTAGGCACTGAAAAGATTTTGCATTGAGAGGATAAAGTTCTGAGTTATTGCATCATGTCCTGGGAAACCCTTAGGAGGTTTTCTGAGCAGCTTGAAATGTATCTGATATAGTGGAGCGAGAATCACATGAACTGTAGATGACCTGTGTCTACTATCATCCTATAGCAGTTACCAGACATGAGAAAGAGCAGAGGGAGTCATGAGTGATTCATTGTTCAAAGAAACTGCAGTTTGACTTTTGAGGAATATATAATGCTATAATATAGCATAAAAATTAATGAAGAAACAGTATCAGCAAATTCTTATGAAGTACAACTTATTCTGATACTGAAGCTCAGTGCAAAAGTCCATCACCTGCCTCTACACCAAAAAGTGACTGCCTCACACTTCTCCACCCCTTCCCATGACCCTCCTGGCAGACAAAATGCCCTTACATATTTTATGTAGAAACTATATTTATAACCTTGTTTTCATTTTTTCAACTGATATACTGGATCCACACCTGCATTTCTCCCAGTGTCCTAGGTTCTCTGCAATTATTCACGTAATCCTTACATTAACTCAACAAATTGTGTATTATTATTATTATTATGTCCATTTAAGAGGTGAGGTACCAGCAGCACAGACACTAAGTAACTTGCCCAAGGTCTCACAGCCAGGCAAGTGGTAGCTTAAGATTCTAAAAATACTAAATGATAACAGTAATGCAGTTAGATGAGAAGGATAGAAAAACAGCTGATTTTTACTGAGCAGCAGTGCATGCCAGGGACTGTTCCAAGCTCTGTTTGTTCAGATTTCAGCACTCTGCATGGTGCCCACTGGTGCAGGCCAGGCACTCAGCAACTGTCTGCTGAATGGTTAACAAATGGGACAACCTATACAACTGAGAATAACTACTGCGACTTAATTCCCATGAATATTCTTTCTCAATATTGCGTGACTGAGGTACTGGGGACTGAACCCAGGACCTTCCACTAAGCTACATCCCCAGCCCTTTTCTTTTTTTAGTACTGGGAATTGAACTCAAGGCCTCGAGCTTGCCAGGCAGGCTCTGTGCCACTGAGCTACATTTCCCGGCCCCACCAGCCCTTTTACAAGGTGTGCTTTCTCAATAGTAGGAAAAAAAAATCTTATTTCCAATTCTAATCCACCCCAAATTTTATGTAGATAATTCACATTATATTTAATTTCCTTATTACCCTGAAAATTAAAAAATATATTCTTCTTGAAATATATTGCTGTAAATTCTTTGTGTAATGAAAGACCTATCTCAATTAATGCTTTATAGCCCTTTGTGCAAATTAGGATACAAAACCTAGCATAGTGCTTTAGCTGCTTAGAAATCTTCTATATTGTAAAACCAGGGAATTTTGAGGACACAGCCTATACCTAATAATCCCCTTAGCATTGTGTCTATAAAGTTCTTTCAGATTCCCTAGCTTCATAACATTTCATCCTGTTGTACAGCACCACCCACAAACCAATTTTACCTGTCTCTTCCTAGGCTTCTAATATGCATTTCTGCCCCAGAGAATTAATGTTTGAAATCGTCAAAACTTACAGCACCCTTTAAATGTCATTTAAGGCGTATGTATCTCTTTTTCCTGGGGATCTTGGGACAATTTCATGACCTTGCCGGGTTAACTGCTTCAGCATATTTTGAAGATAGGGCTGGACGTCTTTCCCTTTCTCACCAACAGGTCTTTAAAGTCCCTTCTGCACCCACGACCATCAGCTTATCAGACACTTAATTTTGTTCACCTCCATTTCTCCAGTATTCAGCAAACCACCTGCTACACTGTGTGTACACTGAAACGATGAGATCTTAAAGGATCACTCTGCCCCGCACTGGAATGCTTCAAAAGGCATCAAGGACACACAGTACAAATTGGCGTCCCCCTTGGCTTTTTCTGCATATCCATCACCTTGCCGGCCTGCTAAAGACTTCCCTGGCCTTGGTGCCGAGTACGCAGCAGAAGCTGAGGAGGTATTTATCAGAAGGATGAATTCAAGATTGCCCCAACATTAACCTGGACTGAGGGTTCAGTTTCGAGGTCCCAGGGGACCCTCCCAGCCTCAGCGGACGTAGCATGACCTTCCTTGCTCCTCTGACCCCGGCTCCGTCCCTTGCGCGCGCCCTTCCCGCTCTGGGGCCGCTTCCTGCAGCCCAAGCAACCGGGGTACTGCTCTGCCCTGCGACCCTGGGTCCGTCCAACACGCCCCCAGCCCTTCCATCAGCCCATATGACTGAGCGTTTCCATCCCTCGCAATCTTCCCAACCCTCCCGCAAGCTGCCATACCATTGAGGCTGCAAGGCCCAGGCCGACACCCCAACGACGTTCGCCCGAGAGAACATGGCAGCAGCTTTGCTTGAAGGTCGGGCAGACAAACCTCGTTGCGCACGCGCCCCTCCCAACTTCACTCGCGCCTTCGATCTCGTTTCCTAGAGCCTGAAGAAGGGAAGTCTCGCGAGAGTTGGTGTCCGGCCTTTCCAGGCCCTACCTTTTTCGGGCTGTCAGCTTTGTCCCGCCTACCGCCGCAGTCCACTTCCGTTTCCGGTCGGTGGGGTTCCCTTCTCCCGAAAGCAGTCACCTCAGTAGTTGAGATGGGGAAGTCAGATTTTCTTACCCCCAAGGCCATCGCTAATAGGATTAAATCCAAAGGGCTTCAGAAGCTGCGCTGGTATTGCCAGATGTGTCAGAAGCAATGCCGGGACGAGGTAAGTGGGCTTAGGATGGCCCCATGTCTCGCGGAGGGCCCTACTGGAAATCCAGGTTCAACTCCGGACGCTGATGAGCGCGCGCGTCTCGGGTTCCCGGTCGTGAGATTTCTGGGATTTCTGACGGAGTCAACTATTCGACCCATCACAGCTGTCTTTTCCTGCCATCTGCAGTCCTAGTGGGGCCCCTGTGGTCTGTTACACCTTTTTCTTCGTCGTTCTTCCTCCAAAAGAAATGAATCAAGAGGTCTTGCAGCTTTCGTAGAGGCTCAATTAGCGAGTGTAGTGCAGGATGCCCGGGAATTAACAACAACCATCATCTCTGACTTTTGAGAGAAACAGGATGATTAGGAGTCACACCTCTTCGGAATCGGGTGAAAAAGGAAAACAAGACTCAACTAAAAAGTGTTTATTAGGCACTTACAATTCAGGGTCCAGAATAACACTGTGTTTAAAATGATGGACTGACCTGGAGTCAGACCGTCCCAATAATGAAGTCAGGCGGCGCCACTTTATAGCGATATGATCTTGGGCTAGTTGTGTTCTCTTTACTTATCTGTAAATCGGGAATAGTATTTGTACCTACTTTTAAAATTGTTATTGAGTTTTAAATAAGTGAATTATCTATAAAGTGCCTCAGAGTCAGGTAGATCTTGAAAGGTTTTATATATTGTGCTGTGGAGTTTGTACTTTGTCTCATTAATGAGGTGGGTGGTGGAGCCCCATTGAGGAGAACTGAGAGCAGGCCACTTCATGGGGCATTTTTCTCTGGGGATTGGATTGAGCAAGAGTGGAAGAACACTGAGGCAATAGGACAAATCTAATCCAGTGCTTCTTTCTTTCATTTCTCTTTGTATTTAAGTCAAGGTGCTGTTCTCATACAGAAAAGTAGACACTGGTACAATGACTGTACATACATCCATTCCCCTGTATCTCAGTCTGCCTGGCCTAGTGTAACAATACAACAGAAACTTATTTTTCACAGTTTTGGAGGTTGGAAAGCCCTAGTTCGGGAGGCTGGCATGGTTGCATTCTAGTGAGAGTCCTCTCCCTATTTCTGTAGACCTCAGTTCCTCTGGAAATAAAAAAAGAAAAGCATCCTTAGGCTCTTGCAAGGGCCCTAAGCTCTTCATGGGGTTGTACCCTCAGGGCTTTATCTAAACTTAATTACTTCCCAAAGGCCCAGCTTCCTAATGCCATCCCATTGCAGTTAGAGTTTCAGTATATGAATTTTGGGATTCCATGATGTCCTGACATGTCATTTTTTGCCATATGTCTTAGTTACTTTTCTCTCCTTGCTGAGACAAAATACCCAACACCCAAAGTTAAAGGGGAAAGGTTTATTTAGCTCACAGTTTGTAAAGGTTTCAGTCTATAATCAGCTGGCTCCAAGGCAGGGTGGCACTTGGCAGAGGGGCAACAGTTCATGGTGGCTGGAAGACTGCAAAAGCAAAAAGAAACCTTAACAGCATCTTTCTGCCCCTTTATTCAGATTACTTAGGGTGGATAGCACTCATACCTTTAATCCTAGGGCCCTCTGTGCCTAGCATTGCACCATGAATCAATCACACACTCTAGATTGAGCCACCTCTGAAAAAGCCCCACCTAAGACGGCATGAGGCTTTGGAGGGAAATCTAAACACAAGTCATATTTCCTTTATTTCAGAAACATTTTAAATATCAAGATATTTCACCTCTAAATACTTAAATATGTACATAAAATCTCAGTACTTTTGATATAACTACAATATAGGTTAATATATCATCAATATAACAAAATTAATAAAATTCCTCTATATAATCCGATACAATGAAGGCGAACCTTTTAGAGCTTTCACTGATACAAATAACCCACTGTAACACACATGGCATAGGTTTGCCACCACTGATCTGATACATACTCATTCACAGTTCCTTAGTTGTCCCCCAGTTGTTTTTTAAAGCAGTATTTTTCTTTGGTACTGGGGATCAAACTCAGGACCCTGCGCTTGTGAAGCAGGTGGCAGAACCACTGAGCTAAAATCCCCAGCTTAAAGAAGTTTTTAAAAACCAAGATCCAGTCAAAAGTCCTGAATTGGATTTAGTTGCTGGGACTTTTTGTTCTTTTTTTGAAATATAAAATATCTTTATTTAAAGTTTCTGGAAAAACGAATTATTTGTAAATGGCATACAAGCTAATAAAAAACAAATTCCAAATTGCTAGACATGCAGACTGAGTACAAGGAATGAATTTGTAATGGGCTCTGAGCATTTTGCCCGACTGTCAGATTTCTTCCCACATGAAAACTATCACTTGATACTTACATGTCCTAATAACCTAATATCTATGTCCTTTAAATGCCTTTTATATCTTATTGTACTGCATTCATTCACAAAATTTCCATGTCAATAGATGCTCCTTTTGTGCCAAGTTTTGGGAAACTAGGTTCAATGCAATTAAATACTCTGAAGAGCTTATATTTCTAACAACTCTGTGGTTTTTCTTCCCCTAAACTGGCCTAATCTGTTTAAATATTTTTTTACTTTTATACAGGGACACCAAGTCTCAAGGGATGACATTACTCAGATAGCCACAGTTATATATGTGAATATGTGAGGCTCCTTGTTTCGAGCTACTACTCATTGGTAGAGGAACTGAGCTCCCACCTAACCATTTCTTCATCTCTGACGTGGGAGAACAGTACCTACCTCAAAGATGTAAGAGTTAAGTGAAAGAGGTCCACGAAGCACTGCCAAATTGCCCTGTCGCCACCAGAGCTGTCCTCCTGCTTTAACTCTTGTGGCTGTGTATGTACACATTTTGCACTCATGTTCAAATCTTTCGTTAAAGTGCTTTGGACAGTACCACAAGAGATGTTCAGATCTTGAGAAATTTTCCTATTTGTCAGGCATTTATTTATTTGATCAAATCATTTTGCTTACTCTTTTAGCATTCTCTTGGGTTTTTGATGTTGAAGGACGTCCCAATCTCTTTCTGTCGTTAACAGATTCACAGCCCTTACAAAATTGCTCAAACCACTTTCTTGGTTACTGCAGATCACCGTTAACTAATTTGAACATTTCATGTGTTTCTTTTGCACTTTTTTTTAGTTTGAAACAAAATTTCACATTAATGTGTTTGTGATCCATCATTTATGGCACTTTTTAAAAACACACCTTCTCTGCACCATAGCTCAGACTGACTGAACAAGTTGAAACTTGTTGCACACTGTCCCTAAGGTTCCATGTACTCTTCTCCTGTTGAATGTCCATGCCTTTCTGTTGAGTGGCCAAATGTGTTCATTGTTTTATAACACCACATACGTTTAAGAATAGCTTACCTTGTTAGAGGCACTTTCCTGTTGTAACTATAGAGTGACAACTGCTGTCAGCTGAAACACCAGCATGAGTGCACCCCAGCTTCAGTAGCTTGTAGCTGAGATTTTCAGCCTGCACTCAGAACTCAGGCTGTGACCTCCGCATATGTTGGAGACAAACTCCCAGGGCCCAGGGTTGGTTACAAGGTCTACCTGGAACCTGCTAAAAAGTACTGGTGATAAAAAATAAAAAATAAATTTAAAAAAAGTACTGGTTGTGGGGTGGGGGAAGAGGGTGGGTGGGTGGTGTTAGCTCAGTGGTTCTGCCGCCTGCCTTGTAAGCGCAAGGACCCGAGTTCGATCCCCGGAACCAAAAAAAAAAAAAAAGTACTGGTGGATCCTCCTGTTTGTCCCAGAACAAAACAAAAAAATCCCAAACAGGAGCCTGTGCATAATACTCTATGAAGTAGCTGCTCAGTAAGTATTGGTTAAATGAGTCCAAAAAATAAAATGACCTTTCTGTTACTGTGCTTAGTAATGTTTGTTATTAACATCTGTTTGTTTGGGGTTTTTTTGGTACCGGGGATTGAACTCGGGTCCTTGCACTTGCACAGCAGGCGGTGAAACCACTGAGCTAAATCCCCAGCCCAACATCTGGTTTTATGCAGCATTATTTTTCAATCTCTCTGATCTCAGAGATTGTTGATTACCAGATTTCCAAAACTCAACTTCATAAAAAGTATAAATAAAAAAACTATAGGGTGGTTGTTGCTAGTGACTAGATTTTTATGATTTATCATTAAAGAGCAGATTTTTTAGGGCTTAATTAAATACTTCTATTCAATGTCCAGTTTGATGATATAAATCATAATTTAACTACTACTTTTTTATTTTTTGTAGAATGGCTTTAAGTGTCATTGTATGTCAGAATCTCATCAGAGACAACTATTGCTGGCTTCAGAAAATCCTCAGCAGTTTATGGATTATTTTTCTGAGTAAGTAACTCAAAGACATCTTTATCTCATAAACTTGATTCAGTTAGACATTTAATGGGTGTTTGATATTTCACATATTGAATGTCTGTTATTCTTTACATGTTAAAATGATAGCTGTTTTCTCTGTGCTCAATTTTATCTTTTAGAAATTTATCTTAGTGTGAAATTGTTACAAATGTGTCCTCTCATCTAATTGTCTTTTCTTCCTTCCCATTTCAAATGTTCAAAACTATAAAACTACCTTTCATAGAGGAAAAACAGCACAGGCTGTTCTGTCAGCTCTGACTTCAAATCCTGCTGTACTCAGGAGCTGTGGAGGATCCCTCTGGATGGGTTTTCTGTGTTTAGTCTCCTTATGTGTGAGATGGCACTAAAAATATACCCCTTCCATGTATTGTTCATCTTTCGAGGGTTTTTTGGAAAATCAAGTTAACACTGTTAAAATTCCTAGAAGAGTACCCAATACTCAATTAAGATTAGCTGTTAATTATTGTCATTACTATTAATGTGCTTCTTTGAATCTTTTTGTTTCCAAACTTCTAGACGTCTTGGTCTGAGAACCCTTTCCACTTATTGATGATTGAAGACCTCAAAGAATTTTTTTTTTTATGTGCGTTGTACGTATCAACACTTAGAAATTAAAACTGAGAAATGTAATATTTTTTATGTACTAACTCAGGTTCAAATAAATGTTTGTGATGAAAAAATATTTTCTGAATAAAAAAGCATATAACATTTTGCAAATCTCTTTAGCAATGTTTCACTTAATAAAAGGCAGTTGCATTCTAACATCTACATTTAGTCTGTCATGAAATGGTGTCTGGATTGAAGCACATAAAGAAAATCCAGCATTTACTTAGATGCATTGTTAGAAGGGGGAAGTATTTTAATAATCTTTTCAAATATTCTCAGATATTCTTCTTTGATAACTACATCAAAACACAATGTGTGTCAGCTTCTCAAAGATTAGTTGCAATGTAGAATCTGAAACCAGATCTGTGAACTTTTGTACTGTTTCCTTAAAATCTATGAGTCTGTCTTTTGAGCAGACCTTGTCCTCAGATATGACATTGTAATGTATTAGTCATTAAAAAAATACAGGTTCACTGAGTTGCCCAGATCTTCCAAATGGTGACACATTTCACCTTACAGTGTCATCAAATCATATTCATTAATGTCAACATTGATGTCATCAGAACATCTGTAGGTATTGGGAAGTATGGCAACATTATATTGACAGATACTGGTTTACCAAAATTCTCCTTGTTGCTTGAGAGCTTAAATTTTATCATTGGCAGCAAACACTGTCAGTTCTTTTCCTTCATGTGTAGGCTCTCTTTGTTTATTTTTCAGAAAATATATTCCAAATGGCCAATTTGGAACAATGATAGTTTATAAGTCAGTTATCTTTTCAAGTAAAAACTAGTGTCCCGTGATAAATATTTCAGCTCACCGCTCAGTCAAGGTACTTTTCTCACGACAACTAATGTACAGCAACAGCAGCCACGATGGTTCATTCGTATTTCTCATTTCAGCACAGAAAATTAGACATGTTCTTAAGAGCTGAGATTTAATAATTTATTTAAAATGGAATTTTACTGCTTCACCAAGGACATTCTAGATGAAATTAACTATAGCTTTTCTTCTGAGTGCATGATGTTGAAGGATCCATCATCTGTTGGTGCAGTTTGGCCTTAGCCCACTTCCTTGGCTTCTATGCTGAGCTGCTAGCATGTTTGCCCTCCACTGCTTGTCAGTCATCAGTGCAAGTAGCACAGTGACAAAGGAAAAATTGCTTATCCATGACCCACCTAGAACTGCATTGAAGACCAACAGGCTACATGTGCTGCACTTCTGACAAGGCTGTCTCTACTCACTGCCTTTCTTCCCACTTCCATTCACTTTGTCTGCTGACTTCTTCCCCTTTAGTCTCCGGAAGAGTCACTTGTGCCTTTTTCCATCTTCATCTTTCTTGATCTTTCTGCAGTGGATAAAGCTTGTAACTCTTCACTGGAACACTTCTGTTTCATCTTCTTTCATGGTTTTCCTGCTTGTACTTCCTTTGTACTTTCTCTCTTCACTAACTCCTGTTTTAGCCTTAGATCCTCAAATGTAGAAAGGTTCTTCAGGGTGCCCCTTTGACTTCTTTTCATCCCATGCCACAGTCTCCATGACTCACAGTAGTCTTTTAACTGTTACCTTTATGCTTAGATGGCTCCTAAATTCTGATGTTCATCCCTGACATCTTTCTTAAACTAAAGATATTTTTTTCCTTGACCACTCTAATCTGTATTTCTGAAGACTGTTTCAGAGCCAGCATTTCTAAAATTGAACTCAGTATCTCCATCTCCCCTGGCCTATTTCTTACCCTGTGTTGTCTAATAACTATTTACCCAGACTCCTGAACTGTAGACGTTGAGTCCTCTTGGAATCGCTTCTTGTGGATTCTCCTTCATACTGTCTTTGAAGCATTTGTGCTTCCCGTTCTCACAGCCCTAGTAAGTACTTCTCACCATCTCTCACTGAATTTTTCAGTGACTTCCTCACAGCGTCCTAACGTACACTGTTGGCCCCTCCTCTGTGTGTTTTATAGCAGTAGTTCACAAATCACTGTGAGCATCAGAACCAGTCAGTTGCAGTGCTCAACAGTGACAACTTCTGACTCCGCAAACCTGTCCACTTTGAGTGACAGTGATACAGTTGGTTTGGGGACCACAAGTGGAGAATTGTTGTTCTCTCCACTGTGATTATCTTTTTAAATTACAGATCTTAAAAAATTAATTTCCCAACTAAATTATTTAGTCCTTTTCTATTACCTTCATAAAATGCAACCTATTTAGCATGACATTCAAGGTGCTGTAAAAAATTATTACCTTCCAGTCACTTTCTGTCCCTTAAGTCTATTCCACCCCTACTCTCAACCTCATTTTTCATTGCCCTAACCTTTTGTCAAAGTAGCTTAAATGTCATTTCTCAAATGTGTTTTGCTTCCAGGGTCCTTTGCTAGCTGGGAATAGCCTTCCTTCCTTTCTGTGTATAAAAATCTTATTTATATTTCACCATCCATATTAAATTATCTCTTGGCATTGCCTCTGCTCTTTTAGTAAGATATTGTTACATTGCTTTTTTAGTTTAACTTGTTATTATTGGTTCTGCTAGGTTATAATCTGCTTGTTTACATATGTTTATCTGGCAGTTAATACAGTGTACTTATTTCAGAGGGGCATATTAAGTGGCATTTTCACATGGAATAAGGACAGTTTTGTATCACAGGTAGAATGGACCTATTATATCATGCTCAGTAGCACTGACAGACTTTGTGAAAAACTCTCTGTAAAGTGAGGTGGTAACTTGTTTTTTTTGGTACTGGGGATTGAACTCAGGACCTTGTGCTTGCCAGGCAGGCGCAGTGCCGCTGAGCTAAATCCCTGGCCTTGAGGTGGTAACTTTATTGTGGCTGCTTTACCCCAGGACAAAATATTCAACTTCAAAATGACTTTTACCATTAATCCTTGAAAACTGTCATCTTTTGGATTTTTTCCTTGTTCACATTTTGCAGGTTCCTAATAATCAGTTAAATTTTTCATATATCATTTGGACATTAAAAGTGTATGACTGCACCGGGGATTTAGCTCAGTGGTTCCACCGCCTGCCTTGCAAGGTGAAAGGTCCTGAGTTCGATCCCTGGTACAAAAAAAAAAAGCATATGACTGCTTAAATTTCAGGAAGATGATGCTATATATTTATAGAAAGTACCTTAATGCTTTCCTTTCTTTCTTCACTAGGGAATTCCGCAATGACTTTCTAGAACTTCTCAGGAGACGCTTTGGTAAACATCTTAACTACTGTGTAAATAATAACTTCACAATAGTATAGTCTTCTTAGGATCAACAGTGTTGTATTTCTTCTTAGGCACCAAGCGAGTCCATAACAACATTGTCTACAATGAGTACATCAGCCACCGAGAGCACATCCATATGAATGCTACTCAGTGGGAAACACTGACTGACTTTACGAAGTGGCTGGGCAGAGAAGGTAAGAAGAGATTATTCCAATAGTTGTTATTGACAGGAGAAAAAAAACCTCTCAATTCTAAATTCATACAAAAAAGAATGCATAGGGCAATATAAAAACTGAAGGAGAAGTTGGGAATGGTGGTGCACACCTGTAATCGCAACATGCTGAGAGGCTGAGGCAGGAGGATTACAAGTTTGAGTCCAGCCTGGGCAACTTAGCAATTTAGCAAGACCCTGTCTCAAAATTAAAATAGGCCTGAGATATAAGCTCTGTGTGAATCCCCTAGGTTCAGTACCCAGTACTTTAAGAAAAACTGGAGGAGAACATACTGTCCTAGGGTTGATTTTGCTTATTATAGTTGATCATGAATATTTGGAATAATTCTTTTGACAATTCAAAGATTTATCACTAGAGCATCTTTTAGGTGGAGAGTTATTAGCAATCTCATCCATTCTTCCCTCCCATATATTTTTTTTTTGGTACGAGGGGTCAAACTCAGGACCTTGTACTTGCCAGGCAGCCACAGCACCACTGAACTATATCCCCAGCCCCTTCCCTCCCATATTTATTTAACTTTACCAAAGTTTTCTTACCCCATCTTAAGGTGATTTTTAAAAATATTTTCTTTTTCCATTTCCAGTCCTCATACGATGAGAAGTTAGGAAGAGAAAGGAGTTTTAAGCCAGTGTACTTTTTATTCGATGTGTTACTTTGTTCCATTTCAAGTTAACAGAGAGCATCATGCTGTCATTGGATATTAGATGCATAGGTGTGGGAGAAAATTACTATGTAAGATAATGCTTTTTCATGTAGTTCCCTTGTTTAAATATGTTGCCTCAGTGCAGCTATGTAAAAATTATGATAGTTTTTTCTGTTTAAAGAGATAAAATGCTACTTGTATCTGAGTTTCATTACATGTAAATATGAAAATTTCATGTGCTTCATGAGTTGGTATTTGATGAAATGAGAAAATATGCAAAGATGGAACATGTTTATATTTACATTTTGCTTTGATTGTATACAAATTTATATTGTCTGTTGTTTTCTTAAGGCTTGTGCAAAGTGGATGAGACACCAAAAGGCTGGTATATTCAGTACATAGACAGGGACCCCGAAACTATTCGCCGGCAACTGGAACTAGAGAAGAAGAAGAAGCAGGACCTTGATGATGAAGAAAAAACTGCCAAATTTATTGAAGAACAAGTGCGAAGAGGTCTGGAAGGGAAGGAGCAGGTGGGCAGCAATATTATTCAGAAGGGCAGTATCAAAATGTCTAAGGAAGTAAAATTGCTTGTGTTTTAAAACATTGAATTGAGATTTAAGTGTACCTTAGGGAGAGAGGGTGGTGTGATGTAAAAGCATATGCTTTGGAGTTGAGGCAAACTTTACTTCAATTCTTGACTTACTGACTTCATTCTCTTGCATATTTATATAAGCTTTCTGAACCTCAGTCTCCTTAGCTCTAAAACAGACAGTACTTAGGGAAGACATAAAAGTAGATCATTTCGGCTGATCGTAATTACCGAAATGCTAGAGATAAACAGGTGTGGGTGAACATTATTTCATTCCAGAGAAGGCAAAGAATGTTTTAAGGTAGATGAACCCCTGAGCCAAGGTTTTTGAAGAAAAAATGGATGAGAGTCAGGTAAATGGGCAAAGGAGGGTGTGGTAAAGGGGTTTAGTGTTAGAATAATGAGACCAAGACATTTATTTCTGTAGATATTTTTGGTGCCTCTTGTGTACCAGGACTCTTCTAGGTGCTGGGGACACACAGTGAACCAAAGATGTAAAAATCCTGCCCTCATGGGGCTTGCATTGTAACAGTTGTGAGCAGGAAAATACAGCCTGATGTATAAGTGAAATTATTAGTTATTTGGTGTTTGAAAGCTTTATTGAGCTCTAACAAAGTTGCAATAAAGTGTAAGACATTCATTAATCTTACATGTATAGTTTATTGAACTTATGCGTATATGTAGGGGGGAAGAGAGAAAGAGCAAGCAAGCAGGTGAGTGAGGGAGAGCCTGTATAGTCACACTAGATAGGCACAGAGCATTTTTAGTATCCCAGAAGCTTCCCTCATTCCTGTTCCCACTCAACACTCCATTACCTCGAAGTAAGAACTTTCTGATGTGCCACTTTTGATTATTGGTTAGTTTAGACCATTCTTAAACCTCGTATAAATCTAATCATACTATATGTTCTCTTTTGTGTCTCAACTTTCAAAACTCAAACATAATGTTGTGCATTTCATCCATTTCTTTCTTATGTTTCATTCTTTTTTAAAATTTTGTAAACAGATGTATAAAAGCATAAAAATTGTGTATATTATTGGGTATCATGTAATGTTTTAATACATGTATACAGTTGTATAATCAGGGTAAATGTATTTATCTCCTCAAACATCTCATTCTTTATTTTTAAATTGGTGTATGATAACCCATTTTACGATTCCAATGTAATTAATCCATTTTTCTGCTGAGGAATATTTGGCTAGATTTCAGTTTTTCACCAGTATGAAGACTGTTGCTCTGGTCATTATTGCACAAGTCTTGTTGAAGCCATTTAATGTAGAATGGTGCAGGAAGTAGGAGGCAGTAAGACTTAAGATACCAGTTTATCAGTCACCTTTTATATCATGTTAATTGAGCTTCTTATAAGTGAAAGTGTTCATTATGGTATACTTCCATCAGTACACATGTATTCACATAATCCTTAGGAGTTTTCAACACTAAACTAAAACAAGAATCGTTTAAAAACTGCTGAATTATAAAATTTAAACAACTCCTTAAGGTGAAAGCTCTTTATTCTTGAAATTCCCCCCACCTTTTTAAAATTTAAATTTCTGTTTTCAGTTAATCAGAGAAAATTTAATTTCATATTGTGGAAATTAATAGTCATATCTTCTTGTATAGAAGAAAGTGGGGAAAATAGTTTACTTTTTGGAATAACATTGTTTGGTAGCATTTTACTTACTATTGCTAAAACTTTCAAGTTATTTTGTACTACAGCTACAAATAGTATCTTTATAGAAAGGCAGGCATCCTCATTCAACATTTAAGTATATCAGTTATAAGTAAGATTATTTTCATTTCTCTTGCCATGTGAAAGTTTACTATAGACATGACCTAAGAAAAGAATATTTTAGTTAGACCTCAAGAATATCTTTTTTTTAATTAGTAGAAACAATTAATATTTATAGATCACATACTATGGAAAACACTGTTAAGTGTTTTCTACATCCTTTATTTAATCCTTCATAATGGTCACCTTTGGGGCCGGGGATTTAGCTCAGTGGTTCTGCTGCCTGCTTCATAATCACAAGGTCCTGAGTTTGATCCCTGGTACAAAAAAAAAAAAAAATTGCTATGCATAGTGGCCACCTTTCCACTTGCTAGGACAAAATACCTGACACCTGCAACATAAAGAAAGGCTTATTTGGGCGCCCAGTTTCAGAATGTTACAGTCCATGGTTGGCTGGCTCTAAGACTGAACCATCATGGCAGAGGAAAGCTGCTCAGGTCGTGGCATCTGGGAAGCAGAGAGCAGGGGAAGACCACCAGAGAGGACTAAGCCAGTGACCAGATATAGTCCCCAAGTTCACACCCCCCTGACCCACTTCTCCAAATAGGCCCCACCTCCTAACAGCCTATTCAGCTATGAACTCATTGATGGCTTAGCCCATTGATGGGGTTAGCACCCTCAATATATGAGTATTTGCAAGACTCTTCATATTTAAACTATAACACCTCCATGTGTTAGCACCTTGTGCCTCCTTCTTAATAGGGGTAATAGCATTTAAAGTCTACTCAAATGGGAAAATCTTTTCATCTCAAAATCTGTAACTAAGTCTGATTTTTAGAAAGCCTTTTTTCCAAATACGGTAGCATTTATGGATTCCAAGGGTGAGGATTTGATATCTATGAGAGTCTACTTAGCCTGCTGTATTCTTATGTCAAGCCTTGGTATTATTGTTAGTAAAATATTCGTTTTATTTGTCCAAGCTCTGTGAATTCTCTCATTTATATTACTGTGTAAATAGTATCACAGGTAATAGAATTGAAAGACTCATCTAAATTTTTTTCCCTGAGATGATGGTGTGTATTTATAGGGTTGGAGATCTATTCTTCTGCCGACTTACCTCTCATATATGTAAAACTTAGAATGAACAAAATGATGTAGATATTAAAATGGGCATTTTAGGTGATGTGGAGGCATAAAAGTGCTCTCACAATCTAGTCACCACCCAGGAGTTTCTTCAAGTTGTTATCCCATTTGAAAGATTGAATAACTGAGACTTAAGGAAGATGATGAAACTGAGAGAGATTATAAAGCTAATAAGTTAGAGAGGTAGGTTTAATATGCAATTTTGTTTTAGTTTAGTCTTAGGCTCTCAGTCATTATACTAGATTATCCTACATCCAGAAGTTTTGCTTTTTAAAGTAGTTCTGTAGTTAATGATTCCTAAAGTTCATTGCCTTACCTTTTTGTTGTAGTTTTACTGTTTACATTGTAATCAAAACAAAAAGTGTAGGCAAGCCTCTGCAGTTTGGTATTAAAAAACTATTTTTTTTTTTTTGCTTTAGAATAATTGTTAATTGGGGAATATCTGCTGTGTATATAATTTCTTAGTTCTAGGATCATAGTCACCTTAGAGTTTGCCTCATAACAAGGTAGCAAGTCATAATGTAAGCTATTGAATGTGGATACGGTAGTAAATGCCCTGTAAACCAAATTGCTCTTGCTCTTTCTCTCTTTCAGGAGGCCCCTGTCTTTACAGAATTAAGCAGAGAAAATGATGAAGAGAAAGGTAGTTTAAATTTTCCTTCCGTTTTTTGGAAGCTTAGATGCTTTTGTATTGGCTTTGCTGAAAGCTAGCAGCATGTCTAGGAACAAGACATTTACTCTGTCAGTTACAGTGTTCTTATCTTTAAAATGAAAAAATAATATTATGAATTAGAGGAATGCTTTCAGACATAAGTAACAAAATGGACTGAAATTAGCCTAAATGGTGAGAAATTATCTTGCCATAATAAGAATCCCAGAAGTGCAGTGATTACACATGTCCTGCAGAACAGGGTAGCTGCTGGCAGCCCTCACATCCAGACTCAGCATTTCCCAAAGGATGGCAGAAAACATCTCTTCTGCAGCCCATAAGGGCAAGGAGGCTTTTCCTGAAGCACACTTCTCTTCCCAGTGGAATTCTTTTCAAATGTCATTGGCCAAAACTGCATCACATGTCTACCTTAAAAGCAGTCACAGGGATTATACTGATTGCTTTAGTCAACCAGAATTTACCCCAGAGCTGAAGATAGTGTTCTGTCACTTGAACCACTGGCCAGAGGTGTGGACCCCTAAGCAAAGCAAGAGTACTGGTACCAAGGGAAAGCGGGGGTGGAGCAGCCAGGCAGCCAGTGTTGTCTGGTAGCCAGCATAATGTGTAAGGCCCTTCCCAGCTCACAGGCATCAGGCAGGGAACTTTTATAGGAATCTGTGGCCTCTGGAGAGGAGCATTTTAGCCTCGTTTATTAGAAATATATGTGAATTCCTATGTGAATACCTAAGGAATATTATCTGAGAAGTTTTATTATAATCCCTCCAAAAGAAATATATATA